GTCTCTCTGCCTCTCAGGTATGGTAACAGCACTAAGAACTATGCTGTTCGAGTTGGGGAATATCACACTCAGGTGCCGGAGGAATAGGAGGAAGAAATTGGAGTTCAGCAGGTCGTGATTCACCCGGAGTACCGACTGAACGGCAGCGACTACGACATTGCCTGGTGAGACTGCAAGGACCAGAAGAGCAGCGTAGGAGGTTTAGCAGCCACGTCTTGCCTGCCTGTTTGCCCCTCCGGAGGGAGAGGCCACAGAAAACAGCCTCTAATTGTTACCTCACGGCATGGGGAGACACAGGTAATGCAAACAATACAAAGGAACAAATGTGTCTGCACATTTCTCTAGTCTGGGGTTCTCCTCACTTTGGGGTGCACAAAAGGTAGTAAAATCTAAAGGAGTTCAGGCTTAGTTATTGGAAATACTGCCAAGTGTGAGATGCATGGATGTGATTTGGATTTACATCCTGAGGGCACTGTTGGTTCCCATAAGAACCTTAGCACAAACTGACAACCCAACTGCCTGGGAGCTTACGGGGGTAGAGAATTCTCTACTTCTTGTTCCGCAGACTAGTGAGGAGACAAAGGAAGATTTCAAGGCATACTGTAAGACTTGGGCCCTGGCAGTCTCTGTTTTAAGCTTTCCCAACTGATTTTGATGTAGCTAGCCCCGGAAAGCGCTCAGTGTTTGATTCTTTCTTTCTTTGCATGAAGCCCCAACTCTTGGGGAATTCCTATTCAGATCAGACAGAGCAGAGCCGCTGAGGATTAACTGAAGGGACCCCATCCATTCCAGTTTCTCCTCAGTGTCTCCTTCCCATTTTCCCCATCTCCGAACCCCCCAAAGTCTATTATTCAGTTTAAGCTTATTTTTCATAAGGGAACAAGGCTTTGTGTCATCTTACTAGAGTTCAATCCATGGATGCCAGCTGGTGTTGCTCAGCAAGGTGTTGGAAACCATAGAGCTAGCACTCACTTGAGTTAGGTGTTCCCTTTACAAGAGACCAGAAAATGGTCTTAGTACACTGTGCTGACCAGGATGCCAATAGTCTCTGAGAAAGCTACAGTCTAATCTGTTAGAATTATGAACACCTCCGTAGGAAAGAAGATTCAATCATCTTTTGGATACATATGCAGTAATAGAAATGACCAATGAAGCGTATTTTACAGAATGTTTTACTATAGACTGATGATTCCAGTTGAATCAATAGGATCAGAAAATAATGGTGGGATTTAAAGCCAAGAAAAAGACCTCATGGAACATATAGTAAACATATTAGCCACTAAACAAAGAGTGAATGATCTTACTAGAGTGGTAACATCAAGTGGTGAAAACTAAGCCTGTCTACATAAGGAATGCTTTGTTTCTCAATTATCCTTATGAAATCCTGTATTACTGTTTACAACAGTGATCGCTACCTTTTGTGCTTACGTGTAATTATTCTTTGCAATTCTCACATTAAGTAGAGTAACCTTAGAGGAATGGGTATGTCACTGCAAAGCCAGCATGAATGCATCCTCAGCTTTTCGATGGGATTGCAATACTAAAGCTTGCATAAATATGCTTTTTATTTCACTTCATAGCCGAGTACTTAAGTGTTACTCAATTACTCCCACAGAATACAGTGGTGAGAAACACTTTAGTGAAGGATAGTGAGAAGAGGAACATTAGAAAAGGGAGCTAATGACGTTACGTATAATTCAGTTATCACTCATTTAAACTTTCCTCATGTCATCATAGAGTTTATTTTCAAGATGACTCAGTGTTCAGTAAACCGTTAAATGTAGCTCTTTTCTGTGAACCCTTTAATTGGGATCTAATTTAGATTATTTGGTCTGAGTAGGACGAGCCTATTCAAGAACTCTTCAACAAGCTGCCATTCCCTTACTTCCCAAGAGGTTTTGTGAAGAACGTTATAAAGGCCGGTTTACAAGGAGGATGCTGTGTGCCGGAAATCTCCAGGACCACAAACGTGTGGACAGCTGCCAGGGCGGCAGCGGAGGACCACTCATGTGCGAAAGGCCAGGCCAGAACTGGGTTGTGTATGGGGTGACCTCCTGGGGGTACGGTTGTGGAGTCAAGGATTCACCAGGTGTTTATACAAAAGTCTCAGCCTTTGTACCTTGGATAAAAAGTGTCACCCAACTCTTGATTCTTCCTGAAAAACTCAAGAGAAAACACACTATCGAAATACCTGTTGGAAAGATTTCAGGCTAAAATTCACTCAACAAGTGAGGACTTTTATGTTTATGTTGTAATTATGTTTCCCTCCCCTTTGCTGCTTTTGAGATTTGTGATGTGAACATTTTTGGCTACAGATACCTCAGTGTGATTCTGATTACCTTCAATTAGCATTGTTGCCTGCCCAAAGCAGTTTTACTGGCAATTAAATTCTTTATTCTCATTTAAGCTACATTGATCTCTTTTGCCTGTTTCTGAGCATTCTCAAGATTATCAAATATTGAGAAAAAGGCCATTTTTACATTTTGATTGAGAATGCCTTGTAATTGAATTGATACATGGATTCACATTTTAGATAAAAAAGTACCCTTACTATACTCAAGTAGTGGGAGTTCTTAAAAAATAATACGTGTTTCTATCTGGGTAAGCCCTGTCAAGTAAGGAAATCCAAGGCCAAAATGGTAAAGGAATATTCATCATAAATCTCAACTGGAACAGGATCAAACCACAGGGATATCTGTCCAATCACAATTATTCCCGAGAAGCCATCATATCAAGCACTATGGCAACTATGACAAAAAATAGATTCTAGCTCCAGGTATGTTACAAGCCAACCCTGTAATTCCTGCTAACAAAGAATGCCTTCAAGTTATTGGTTGCACAAGTCAATATATCCACTTTTCTATCTCCTGTGCTTGCTTCTAACCTTACAAGTCTTCTGGGTATGATGAGAGTGCCACCTACTGCAACTTCCTAGTAATTGGTCAAAACTGCAGATTCCCCAAGACTGTTACCACCTTATAGAACCTGACAGGGGTATACTGTTTTAAAAAAATGCTTTCCATGCCAGTTAGGTAAAGGCTCCACACAAGTTTTCAACCAACTTACTGTACTAAATACTGCGTAAGTTCACTGTGCACCTCAACTTACAAAGGACTGAACATTTTAGGAAAACAGATCTAGAAGCCAGGTGAGACAGCTGATTTTGAAAGGCAGCTGCAGAAAGAAATCCTGATGCTGACAATGGTTACCAGCCCACACCCTGAAGTTTCTCCTCTACTTACGAAAGGGCAAGAGAAAGCTGCTTACCACACATTCTGAAAACTATTCTTGGCAGCAGTACATAATCTGTACCCAAGTATGAGGTATGTCCCTCGAGACACCTAAATAATTTTTAGACATGACTGCCAATGAATCCTCCCTGAAATCCTAAGAAAACTCTTGTTATATGCAAGAGGTAGATGTAATGACAAAAAACCATAAAGTTTAATGTTAACTTTAGCATTGAGTGGCTTAGCCTCCCCCTCAAGTCGCTCCTAACAATGGACTTGACCTTTTGCATCAAATCATGTCATTTTTGTAAATCCTCAGCTTTGTTTAAAAAAAAAAAAAAAAAGTGGGCCTCCCCGGTGGTGCAGTGGTTGAGCGCTGGGTTGCGAAGCTGCCCGCGGCCTCTGCAGCGCCGGTTTGATCCCCGGCTGCTCCCAGGCCACCAGAGGAGGGTCCCACATGGCGCGCAGACCTCTCCTGCCGCCCGCTGCTCCCCTCAGCAGTGTACTTCGGTCCTTCTGCCTGCTCTGCTCCCCGCTCTGGCTCTGGTGAATTCTCTCACCCTCGCGCGCTTCTGACAGTACCCAGTGCATGTATAAACAAAACAAACAAACAAACAAATAAATAAATAAAACATGCCTCTATTAAAAAAAAAAATTAAAAAAAAAAAGTTAACTGGTGCTTACCTAATGGTGCTTTATAGTTTACAACTTTGCAAAAATGTAATGTTATTTAAGTAGGATTACATTAAAACTTCTAAAAAGCTCAAGATATTGATAGAGGGAAAATGTTTGTCACATAATGGAATGATTGAGCTGCATCTAATGTTGCTTGCACAAGGGCTTGGGAAGAATGTGCGATACAGGTGAGAAAATCTGCAGAAACCCCTCACAGGCTGCCCTTGTAACTACAGTGCTGGAGGAAGCAACATTTATATTAAAATTCAACTGAGCTAGGCTGGCAGACAAAGTTATCAGTTTGTTCAAGCTTGAATTGGAATACTTTGTAACATGTTATAGCTAATTTCGTGGTAACTGTGACTTTTACTATATTCAAGTGTTTGTTGCATATTTATGTAAATAAAGCACATAGCTTTTCACCTAGTATTGTTGCTTTAATCTTTCACGTGATATGAGAACGAGCACTTTTTTCTAGGGTTGACATGCTTTAGTTTCCCCAAATGCTGAAAACACCCTTACCATACTGGAATTCCAAGGTAATGTTTGCTGTTACTTGTATTTACCGAGTGAAGGTACACCAAATACCATTTTACAATTGTAACAATGAACCACTATTTAAATAGTACAGTTTATTTAGACATATGTATTTAAAATACAGCCAGAGTAGTCTTCATAACATCAGCAGTCACTTACTCCTCTGGTGAGATTTAAAATCACAGGTACTGTATGCAGGATACTGATCAAGACGTCACCCAGAATTCTTGTCTGCAAGGGAAGAAAACCAATTCATAAACTCGTGTTTGTGTACTGAACACACAGCGAGATGAGGCGACTTCATCAGTTACTCAGCCTCAGCTAACGCTTTCAAATTACAAAAAACGCCAGAAACGGGCCAATTTAATTTTGGCCTTCCAATTCCTTAGAGCTAGCGCTTTCAGATTAACTCCAAAATACAAACAAAAGGGAACCTTTTTTTAATTTACCTTGTTTTAATTTCCATCACCCATCGGAACTCGGCGTCCTCAAAACATTTTAACAGTGTTTAGATATTTTCCCAGTAACGCCGCACCCTGCACATTTTGAAGAGGAAAGAACTGTTACTTGTGCAAGTCAGAATCTGATACCAATTAAATGGTGACAGCTTTGCCAATAAACAAGAATATGCCCTTCCATGGCTAGGAAGGTGAAAGGTTCGGAGCGGTAAAGAAAAGGAGAGCCAGGCTACATTTCTCAAAGGGAGGGAAAGTTTATTGCGCCCCAGGCGGACCTCACAGACCCAAGGCGGGGGTCAGTGGAGTCGCGCACGTAGTTAGGGGGAAGCAGGGTTTTATAGGGCGAGGAGAGGTCAGGTGGGTAGTTGGGCTCGCACGGTGGGAAAAGTTTGTAGGGCAGGTAGAGGTTCTTTGTCTGAGATGAGACTCGTAGGGGGAGGGGGGAGGCTCATTGTCTGAGTCCTCCAGGCAGGTATCCGCATTCCTGCCCCCCAGGTGGGCTTCCTGGTTGGCTCCTGCATTCCGGCCTCCTGCATGGACCTTTCAGAAGGGAGACTGCCACAGCTGACAGGTCCCAAAGACACACAACGCCGGGCGTTACTCACCAACGGGCTCCAACGGCGGCCATCAAGACGCGTTACCATACAACTATGGCGGCGCAGATGGAAGGCGGAAGGACACTCTTCCTCGGCGTTCCTGGCAGCGTGTTAGCTCACCCCGAAGGCCCGGGGCCCATCGCGCTCGCGGGCTCAGCGCCCAGGGCAGCACGTGGCCGCCGACGGCCTAACGCGTTAAATCGGCCCTGGCCGTCCCACCCAGGGCTTTTAAAAGCTGAGCGCCATCTGGCAGCCCAAGACGTCCGAGTCCTTTCCGTTTTAGCCAAGTCCAAAAAATCCTATAGCAGGTTTTTTATTTGTTTTGGCGCACAAAACGCCAAGGCGAACCACCACAGACACACGCTCCCCGGATGCAAAAGAAAGAAAAACGCCGCGCACGCACTTTTAGAGCGCTGAGGACGCTCTTTCGGGGAACGCCCCTAGACGGGCGGGGCTTATGCAAATAGTCCTCGTAGCCCCGCCTCGATAGCGCCCCTTGCGTTCACCCGCTTCTATTTCATGGCCCCGCCCATTTCTCCGCTTCTCCTCCTGGCCTCCCCTCCTCTAGCTGTGGGCCACTCCCGCGGGCTCCGTTTTCTGCGCCTGCGCCTGAACAGGGCCCAAGAAGTCTCGCGATACCAGGAAATCCCGAAGCAGCTCGCGTTAGCGGCTGGCGGAGCAAAGCGAGGAAGTTGTTGGCCGGGACGCTAGGCTGGAGCCTTTAGCCGTCACCGTTGTCACGGAAACGCCAGGTTCGGTGGTTCTAAGCGTTTTAAACTTCAGGCGGCGCAGTTTCCGTGGAACTCGCGCTGCTTTTCGCTCTTGGCGAGTGAAATGTCGGCCTCCGGCGTCTGCGCCGGAATTGCTGTTTCTGAGGCGCAGGTGTCCGCCACGCGCCCTCAGGCTTCGTCTGGTGGCTGGTTCCGGGCGAACCTTCTAGAAGCAGCTGCGCTCGGTGCTAACAGCCTCCCCGACGATGTTGTGAAGGAGGCTGAGGAGCGCGAGGCTGGCGGACGGGCGGCGGCCGCGCGTTTCCCGCGCTCACCCGAGTCAGCTGCTCATTCCGGGCCCCCCGGTTCCGAGCCCACCGCTTCCGGGCCCCCCCCCGGGTTCCGAGCCCCCCGGTTCCGGGCCCCACCCCGGCTCCGGGCTCCCCGGTTCCAAGCCCCCGGTTCCGGACCCCCTCGGTTCCGAGCCCCCCCCCCCCCCCGTTCCGAGCCCCCTGGTTCCGGCCGCCTGGCCGCGGCGCCGGGTCTCCCCTCCCCGGCTACCCCTTCTGAGGAGGCAGTTAGTGAGGTGGGGCGCGCCCGCGGGTGAAGGGGGAAGTGGTTTTAGGCCCAGGTTGTCTGTGAGGGTGCGCTCAGGCCTTTCAAATTCCGTGTTTTCCTCCGGTGTGGAGCAAAAAGAGGATCCCGGTGAGAGTTTTACTTAGCCGTGAACCTTTTGATGCCGAGAGGCTGGTGAGGGAAGGGCTGCAGTCGCCTTCGCCAGAGGTTCGCGAGGTCACCACACGCCTGGGGGGAGCGGAATGACTAACGCCAATGCTGCCAGTTTGGCTGAGAGAGGACAAGTGCAGAGGAAATTTTTTTTTAAGATTATTTATGCATACAAGAACGGGGGTACAGGCCAGATACGCGGGAGGGTGAGAGGATTCACCAGAGACAGAGCGGGGTGCAGAGCAGGCAGACTGACGAAATACACTGCTGAGGGGAGCAGCGGGCGAGAGCAGAGAGGTCTGCAGCACATGGTGTGTATCTCCCTGGCTGGCCGGGATCGAACCTGCTCTGCAGAGGCTGCAGGCGGCTTGACAGTGCTGCGCTCAACTGCCTTCGCCACCCGGGAGGCCCCAGGAAATAAGTTTTAATCGGAAAGAACCAGAACTGTTTCTAAGGCTCTCCTTTGCCCCACCCTACCCTACTGTCACTCCACCTCAGTTTACTCATCCCTCTCACTAATGGTATCATGACAAGGCTAGAATGCCAAGCCGTAGAGGGGAATTTTGCCAAGTTAGATTCATCTGGAAGCCCGCGCCATCTGTGCTGTGCCAGAGTGACGGCCAGTCCCGCAGCCTGGATCCCGCACGCGGCCCCTTCCCCAGTGCCAAGGGCTACAAGTGAGGTTGGAGGCTTCTAAACCCTTCTCTTGGCCTGTAGGCAGCCTCCTTGAGTGCACCAGACATTGGCTGAGCTCGTACCCTGTAACCTCCTTTTACCTATTTACAGCTTTAAAAAAAATTTTTTTTTAAAGATTTATTTATTTATTTATACAAGCACTGGGTACAGTCAGAAGCGCGGGAGGGTGAGAGAATTCACCAGAGCCAGAGTGGGGAACAGAGCAGGCAGACTGATGAAGTACACTGCTGAGGGGAGCAGCGGGTGCCACAGGAGAGGTTGCACACCATGTGGGACCCTTGCTGGTGGCCGAGGGTTGAACTGGTGCTGCAGAGGCTGCAGGAAGCTTTGCAGCCCAAATCTCAACCCCTGTGCCACTAGGGGAGGCCCTACCTTATTTACATCTTTAAAGACCTTGTTGACAAAGACAATCCTGGTCTGAGGTATTGAGGATTAGGTCTTTGAAATAATTTGGGGGCGGAGGTGGAGGAAAGATATATTTGGCCATCCAGCCCTAACACCAGCCACCTATACTAAACTACAGAGAATTATGGAAGGTTTTTGTTTTTAGTTTTTAAAGGTTTATTTTTCTTTATGCATGCAAGAAACTGGGGTACAGGCCAGAGATGCAGGGTGGGGTGAGAGGATTCAGCGGCGAAGAGTGGGGAACGGAACAGGCAGATTGAAATACACTGCTACCCCTAGGTTCCAAAGAGTGGGTAAAATCCCAAGGTGACCTCAGAGGAGGAGAATCAGAAATACCAGTGAACAGCAGTAAACGTTTATACGGTTGCTGTGTTAAGATTTTTTTGTAATTTTATATTTTTCCTTTTCTGTATTATAACTTGGACATAATCTAGACATATCTGAGGTGCCTGTGACCTTCATTTTCCTTTTCCAATTAACTTTCTGAAAGATCAACTTCCCTGAAATAGTATTCTGTCCATATTTAGTCACTTGCTACAGGAACTGTTACTAAGCTTTCCTCCTATTACCTGGCCACATCCCTAATCCTTTACTAGTTGAGCCCTCTGGCCCTCTAGCCCTGCCACCTGGTGTGGGCAGTGGGGGGCTGCGTGGGGTGGGGAGCGGGGTACGGGCGTGGGGAGGAGGGGCGTGCGGGGTGGGGAGCGGATGGGGAAGTGTCCGGGGAGGCCTGAGGGCGGGCGTGGGGGGAGCCCAGGCCCCTGGACAGCGCGGGGGGGCCACGGGCGAGGGGGTCTCGGGGACCCCGCTCTGGACACGGGGAGCCCCTCACCGGACCCCTTCGTGCTTCCCGGAGTTCTGGGCGTGACGCCGGCGGCGCGCGTGGTGGGTGAGGAAGCCTCCCGCGTCCCCGCCTTTCAGACGCGCGGGGCTGGACGTCTGGGTCCTGACGGGCGCCCCACGGCCCTTCCCGGGGTGTGGGGAGGGCGTCTGCATTGCATCCGATTCCCGGGTGTGCCGGGTGTGACTGGGGCATGGAGGCCGAGGGGACCCTCCGCCTGGCTGAGGCTGGCTGAGAAGTCCCGGCCTTACTGGGCGATTCCCCGGTGCGCCGGGCTGTGTCTTCCCCGGGGAACCGCGTGTTCTCCCGAGTGCTCTGCCTGCCTCCGGGCCTCGCCCAGGGCAGGTCCACGCCGTGTCAGGGGGTGTCCACGGAAACCGAGGCGGAAAACCGAGGCGGGAAGCGGGGCGCACCGAACCATTTCTGGGAGCGTCCTCGCAAAACAGTCCATCAGGGGCACCTTTCCCGTGAAACTGTGGTCAGCGGTTTTGCATGTGACTAACCATCTTCGAAAACTTTTAAGTTTCTGAACTTTGAATTTCTTGGATCATCACTTGTGTTTCGACGCAGGAGGCAGGTAGGCCGGGCGGGTGCGGGGTGTGGGAGAGGGAGGGAGGAACCCCATCCCATGGAAGTGTGAGCACAGCTGTCAGCGCGGTGACTCTCTGGGCTCCCAGGCAGTGTGGGGGGCCCTGGACAGGACACTCCGGGGCCCCGTGCAGCTGCCTCCGCCCTCTCTGCTGGACTCCATCCCCTCTCCCAGCGCCGCCTCCGGAGTCCTCGCGCATGTGAGAGAGCAGCAGGCAGTGACTCCATCTCTGGTGAGTGATGTGTTTGCATTAGCTTGTGGTGCACTTCATGGGAGTTCATGACCTGAAGTGTAAATTAGAAGCATAGCTTTCTTTTTCTTTTTATTTATTTATTTATTTATTTATGCATTTATGCATTTATTTATTTATTTATTTTAATAGAGGAATGTTTTATTTATTTATTTGTTTGTTTGTTTGTTTTCTTTATACATGCACTGGGTACAGTCAGAAGCACGGGAGGGTGAGAGAATTCACCAGAGCCAGAGGGTAGAGCAGAGCAGACAGACTGATGAAGTACACTGCTGAGGGGAGCAGCGGGCGGCAGGAGAGGTCTGTGCGCCATGCGGGACCCTCCTCCTGTGGCCGGGCAGCAGCCTGGGATCAAACCGGCGCTGCAGAGGCTGCGGGCAGCTTCGCAACCCAACACTCAACCACTGCGCCACCGGGGAGGCCCAATTTTGGTTACTTTTTTAATTGTTTAAAATCTTGGGCCTCCCTGTTGGTGCAAGGAGTTGAGAGGCAGCCTATGAAGCCATCTGCAGTCAGTGCAAGCACAGGTTCAATCCCCAGCCAGGGAGCAACCCACATGGCACAGCCGACCTCTCCTGGCTCACCCGCTGCTCCCCTCAACAGTGTTTTCGGTCTGTCTGCCTGTTCTGTTCCCTGGTCTGTCTCTGGTGAATCCTCTCGCCGCCCCCCCCCCAGACACTTCTGGCCTGTACCCCAGTTCTTGTGTGCATAAATAAATAAATCTTTCAAAAAAAACTTCCTATATTTGTTTGCATGTTTACTTTTTTTTTTTTTTAAGATTTATTTATTTATATAAGAACCGGGGTACAGGCCAGATGTGCGGGAGGGTGAGAGGATTCACCAGAGACAGTGGGGAACAGAACTGGCAGACTGATGAAATACACTGCTGAGGGGAGCAGTGGGCGAGACAGGAGAGGTCTGCCGTGCCTGTGGGATTCTCCCTGGCCCGCCAGGATCGAACCTGCACTGCAGAGGCTGCGGACAGCTTCACAGTGCAGCGCTCAACCACCTGTGCCACCAGGGAGGCCCTGCATGTTTACTTCTTTTACTTATTTTTGGCTTCCTCAGTCTGTCGTGACATGTGTGGCACTGAAAGCTTTCTGCTGAAATAGTGGTCAGTTTTCTCTTACATTCCTAATAGGTTTGCCCTACCCTTTTTACCCCTGTACCAAACCACCCTGGCCCATCCCCCTCTACCCCCTCCCTTTCTTCTCCACCCTTTCCTCCTTCCCACTGGTGGTCATCTTTGTCTTCTTTTTCCCTCATTCAAGTTGTATTCCTGCTGTATTTTGCCTGTAAATGTATTTTGGGTTTTTATATTCCACAGATGAGTGAAGCCATCTGATACATGTGTCTTTACTTTTTGACTTATTTCACTCCAGGTAATCACGGCCCGGTACATCCATTTTGTCCTCAGTGCACCACTTGCTCTTTCCTCACAGCCCTGCAGTGCTCCCCTGCGTGTGCTCCACCCTTCCTGTCCCTGCCTCTGCTGACGGGATGTAGGTTGGGCCATGAATGGGCAGTTGGGAACAGTGCTGCTCTGCTCATGGGTGTAGATAAATCTTTTTTTGTATTTGAGATTTCACTTTTCAATATATAACTTACAGAAGTATTGCTGATCATGTGGAATTTCCATTTTTATTTCCTTAAACCTCTGCACCATTAGCCACAGAGACTATACCAACTCTCATGGCCACCAACCGTGGATGAGAGCTCCTTATTCTCTGTATCCTCTCCACCGTTCTGAATTCCATTCTTCTTTTTTATTTGGGCCATTCTCAAGGAGTGAGGTGGCATCCAGTGTGGTTTTAATTTACATTTCTCTTACAGTAAGTTAAGATGAACATTCCTATTTCTGTAGGACGTTAGAATTTCCTCTCTAGAGAAGAGTTTATGTACTTCTTTTGTCCACTTTTTAAAATTTTTTTTAAAGATTTACTTATTTTTATACAAAAACTAGGGTACAGGCCAGAGGCACAAGAGGGTGAGAGAATTCACCAGAGACAGAGTGGGGAGCAGAACAGGCAGACGGACTGAAGACACTGCTGAGGGGAGCAGTGGGCGAGACAGGAGAGTCTGCTGCACCATGTGGGAATCTCCCGGGCCAGCTGGGATCGAACTGGCGCTGCAGAGGCTGTGGACAGCTTCATAGGGCTGTGCTCAACCCACTGCACCGCTGGGTAGGCCCTGTCCATTTTTTTTTATAAAGATTTATTTATTTGGGCCTCCCCAGCGGCGCATTGGGCTCAGCGCTGTGCTGTGAAGCTGTCCGCAGCCTCTGCAACGCCGGTTCTATCCCGCACGGCCAGCGAGGATCCCACGTGGTGTGCAGACCTCCCCTGTCACACCCGCTGCTCCCCTCAGCAGTGTATTTCATCAGTCTGCCTGTTCTGTTCCCGCTCTGTCTCTGGTGAATCCAGAGACTAAGTTACTTAGTCTAAGTACTAAGTTACTGAGTTACTTAGTTACTTTCCTCCCGCGAATCTGCCCTGTAGTACCCCAGTTCTTGAATAAGTAAATAAATCTTTAAAAAATAATATTAATTCAAAACTTATTCAACATCATGGAATTCATACTGGGCAGAAACCTTACAAATGTGAAGAATGTAAGAAAGCCTTTAAGCTGTAATCATGTCTGAGCATCAGAGAATTCATACTGGCCAGAAAGCTTACCAATGTGAAGTATGTGGCAAAGCCTTTAACAAGAAATCACATCTTACTTGACATCACAGAATTCATAATCGAGAGAAACCTTACAAATGTGAAGAATGTAGCAAAGCCTTTACCTCGATGTCAAGTGTTTCTGACCATTACAAAATTCATACTGGGGAAAGGTCTTATAAATGTAACAAATGTGGCAAAGCCTTTAATAATAATTCAAAACTTACTTGATATAATAGAATTCATACTGGGGAGAAACCTTATAAATGTGAAGAATGTGGGAAAACCTTTAAACAGCCATCACATCGTAGTCAACATCATAGAATTCATGCTGGGGAGAAACTTTACGGATGTGAAGAATGTGGCAAAGCCTTTACCCAGATGTCAGGTCTTACTCTGCATCACAGAATTCACATCAGAGAGAAAGGTTAAAATTGTAAAGTGAATTTTTTGACTTTAGTCTTTTTAGCCAGAAGTCCAGAAGTTTAACCAGAAGTGGCAAAGTGATTATCCAGAAGTCAAATCATCCTAAGCATCTGAGAGTGCCTACTGAGAGAAACCCATAAATGGAAAGTGATGAATGGATTGTCCAAATATATGTTTGGAAACCACCAGATTTTCATACTGGAAACTTGAAAGAAGCGAAAATAGGAGAAAGTAATATATAATGAAAATTAGATACATATTAAGTCATTACAGTGCAGTAGGAAGTTAATTACACTTGCCATACATTACCTAAAATGAGACTATGGTTATGGAGCATAAACCAAGATTAAAACACTAAATATTAGTGTAATTTAAAAGTTCAAGAGGCCTCCCTGGTGGCACAGGGGTTAAGTTGCAGCATTGTGAAGCTATCGGCAGCCACTGCAGCACAAGTTCCATCCCCATCCAGGGAGCTGACCCACATGGAGCAGCAGACCTCTCCTGTCTTGCCTGCTGCTCCCCTCAGCAGTGTATTTTTGTATATCCACCTATTCTCCTCCCCACTCTGTCTCTGGTGAATCCTCTCACCCCCCCCCCTCAGTCTTCAGGATCTTTGAAACACTCCAGTTAGGGACCTTTTCGTGGCCTTCAAACACACATTGTCTTAGGTTTGATATTTATTTATTTTTAAAGATTTGTTTTATTTATTTATACAAACACTGGGTACAGTCAGAAGCGCGGGAGGGTGAGAGAATCCACCAGAGCCAGAGCAGGGAACAGAATAGGCAGACTGACGAAATACACTGCTGAGGGGAGCAGCGGGCGGAGAGGTCTACGCGCCATGTGGGACTTTCGCTGGCGTCCGGGGATTGAACCGGCGCTACAGATGCTGTGGGTAGCTTCACAGCCCAGTGCTCAACCGATGCGCCAAATCGGTTGTATTTTGATACAGTTAGGCAGGTAGGACAGGTGGGGGAGGAGGGAGGTGGGTGGGTGAGAAAGGAATTACGTACCACACTGCTCTGTCTGTCCATCTGTTTAATTTCTTTTTAATCCTCATGTTTTATTTTTTTCCTGCTCGTTCTCTGTCCTTGGTCATGTTATATATATTGCTCAGTGTTTTCTTCTCTGATTGCTACTGTCCAGGAGCTCCCGTGTATGTGAAGACTTTATATTATTTTATACTCTGCTCAATGAATTTTCCTCTTTAGAGTAGCTTTAATGTGATTTTCAAAATCTTCAAAGGATGAATTGTAACTACTTATGACTGTTTTTACTTATGATTTCTTTTTTCTGTTGTATAGAGTTATCCTAACCCTTTGTGAATAAGGGGTAACTGAGCATCTTTGTTATTCCTTGTCTCTGTGAATCAATGTCACCTGTGCCTGTGTCAAGGATACTGAATGTTAAGGAAAAATCCTCTTAACCCTTTTTTTTTTTGGTCACAAAAAATGGAGAGTATTTGTTGAAGGTCCTAATCAATGTATATGTGAATATACATAGGATTTTGTACATAGCAATAAGAGATGATGGAATGCATGAACAGATTTCTCAAGATTGAAGTTTTCTTTTGCCCAGTGTCATCTTTTCCAGAAGTCTTTCATTGCTCTCATCAATGTTTTCTTTCTCCAGTAGTAAATATTAGTGTCTTCCAGTTGTTTTTCCTCTTCTTTCAATTCCTTTTGTTCTGGTCGAGCTATGTCATTGCCTATGGTGATGAAAATACCAGTAATATCCTGGAGATCCCCAAATTTCTATTCTCAGCTTAGAGTTTCTGATCTACAAAACACATGTTGCATGCGAAACATCCTTATCTACCAGCTGGTCATGTGGACAACATGTCATGAAAATATTTCTTCTACCTTCAGCCACCAAATTCTTACCTAGTTATTCTCTCCTTCACCCTTCCATTTTAGATGTACTGCCCGGGTCTGAATTCCTATGAGTCTATCAGGTGAGCATCTCTTACCTCTGCTTATCTCCCCCTCATTGTTTGAGCATTCTGGGTTAGGGTGTAGGTTTTGTTTAGTCTGATGTGGCAATAACAGCTTTGAGGGCACAGGAATAAAATATTGGCACAGATTTGTACATACTTTTCATTAGCATATGATCAGATAACATTTGATACTGGTGAATTCAGCTCACATGTCCCACAGTTCATGTAACCTGACTGACTTTAGTTCCAGAATACTTTTACTGTCTTTCTCATCTCCCTGCCCGGAACTCTGCCTGGCAGTGTGCTCTCTGCAGGTCAGTTACCATGGCGAGTGCTTTTTATTTTCTCATACTATGACATCTGCTGTTGTCTCATCTTGATGACAGTGTTTTTTACAAGGAAGAGATGAACGTTTGTTTTTTTAGAAGGAAGAGATAAGCGTCTTCAGTGAAGTGCATCCTGGTAGTCCACACTGTTGTTTTTTCTTCTCTTGCGGGTGTGTCTTCATCACAGCTTTCCACATAGCTCTTTAGCGCATTATTTCAGGTATATGGTTATTCTACCTGCCAACCAGGTTTTCAGCTCTTCAAGGAAAAAATTATATTCATCATGTAATTCTTAGCCTCAAAGACATTTCCAAATTCATAAGGTAAGCTATGAAAGTACTTTTAGGAGCTAATGGGTTAATCCAGAGGTAAGGCTATTTTTACTGAGAATTCTGCTCACATCATAATGTAGAGTACAAAGATGATGCCTCCTGTACAAGATCAGAGACCCACAACAGAAGATGATTTTACACTTGCTGCTGTCTGACCCAGGCTGACGGCCCTGAAATGATGATAAATGTTCCCTCACAGCGACTGGTGTCATTTTTGGATGTCTTTGTGAACTTCATCTGGGAGGAGTGGCGGGACCTGAATGATGCTCAGAGGACCCTGTATGGGATGTGATGCACAGCTCTTAACACTGCTCTTGTTTGTTTCATAGACTGAAATTTGACTTGATCAGAGATCATCACTGTTGCTCATCACAGAGCATTGTGTTAACGATCCTCTGCTGGGAGCAGAGGGCACAGCCATGGAATATGGAAGAAACCCTGAACCAGAACCTCTCAGGTCAGTCAGTGCATGCCTGGCTGGGAGGCAGAGACACCAGCAGGTATTGACCACGCTGAGCTGCTTTTCCAGTGTCCAAACCTTAGACATTTTGTCTGCGTGTATCAAAGTAATTCATTATTCCTTTTCCAAATATTGCTCTCTTGTAGATTTAATGTTGTTCTTTTTTTTTTATAATAAATTTTATTTTTATATTCCCCATACAATTTCAACCCCCCCATTTTGACCCCAATCCTTCCCCTCCCTCCACCCACCCCCCCAAAAGTGTCTCTGGTTCATAGATTTCATAGATTTTTGTTGATTTTGATTTTCACTTTCTTATAGTTATTCATTTTCCTGGTCCCTTATTTAAGTTTTCTAGATTCCTGCTATGAGTGAGACCATCCGGTATTTTTCTTTTTCTTTCTGGCTTATTTCGCTGAGCATGATCCCTTCCAGCGCCATCCATGTTGCTGCAAATTGCATGTGTTTATCTTTTTTGAATGCTGAGTAATATTCCATGGTATATATGGACCACATCTTCTTGATCCAGTCATCTATTTTTGGGCATTTGGGCTGTTTCCAAAGCTTAGCTATTGTAAATAGTGCTACTATAAACATAGGGGTGCAGGTGTTCTTTGGAATTGATGTTTCTGTGTCCTTTGGGTAAATACCTAGGAGTGGAATTGCTGGATCCTATGGAAGCTCTATGTTTAGTAGGTCCAGAAATCTCCACACAGCTCTCCATAGTGGTTGGACCAGTTTGCACTCCCGCCAACAGTGCAGAAGAGTTCCTTTTTCTCCACACCCTCGCCAACATTTGTTGTTGCTAGTTTTTTTAATATGTGCCATTCTCATTGGTGTGAGATGGTATCTCATGGTAGTTTTGATTTGCATTTCCCTGATGACAAGTGATGTTGAACATTTTTTCATATGCCTGTTGGCCATTTGCATTTCCACTTCAGAGAAGTTTCTTTTTAGCTCTTCTGCCCATTAATGTTGTTCTTTTAATGATTGTCAATATTCTTAACCAGTATGCAGTCCCTGATACTGCAGGAAATTATTCTGCCTTAGTCACATTTTCTGTATTCTCTCTAGTAATTTATTCTCGGAGACTGTTTTCTTTAGGTTATTGTTCAGGCATTTGTTTATTCTTTCAGTATGTTCATGGGGAGTTTTAGACAATGGTCAATTTTCTATGAGAGTGGATGGCAAACATGGTCACAGCAATGGCCTTTACTTTATTGAAGTTATATTCTGTGTGAAAGGACAATGAAACTAATACATGTATGAAACCACAGAGAATGTTTGACCAGGGTGAAAGAGAAAAAGCGGAGGATGTGATTTTAGAATGTGCTCCAGTGGAAGCATTGTAGAAATGAAGTCTTTTCTTGCAGAGCTCAGGGTAGATATGGTTTCACTGCTACATCGTGTATATAGTTTTATATACAGTCTGGGCTAGAGGTTGTGTATTGCTATTGAAGGTGTCATTTACCAGCTGATTAACTCCAAAGTGATAGAATGAGAGGAGGTTGACTGGAGAGTTATTTAGGACATGAATAGTGTTTTATGTTTTATTTAGGACATGAATAGTGTTTAATGCCTATGGCCCCCCTTCATGAGAAACTGAGGCAGAGAAGGACCCAGCAAATCATTCATCATGGGAAGGGATGTTCCTGACATGGTGTGGAAATCTGAGATTGTAGTTTCTAAACCATGAAGCGAATCAGGTTGGGTGCTTATACCTTGGGAGAGTGTGGACTGTATTACAGCTTCTTTTGTGGTTTTCATTGTAAAGAATGTAAAAGAATCAGTGAACCCTTGGGATTGCAGCTTAAGTAAGATAATGTCAAAACAATAATACTCGATAAAAATATGACATGTTATGAATCAAGTAGAAACACAGGTACCAAGTAGTGCAGAGAGAATACCAGGAGTGTTACTCTCTGAAGGGTGTGAAAAAAGCTGTTTATGATGGTGGACACAGGCTGCATTGTAGACCTTTTTCTTTTTGATCAGCTGGACGAAGAGATGAGGCAAAGTTTGCTGTATCTGTTACAACTCTGAGAAACATGTGATGTCATATTTAATTACGAATTAAAGAGGGTCTCTTTGGTGGTGTAGGGGTCAAGTCTTGCTGCTGTTACTGTAACAGCCTGAGTTCATATCCCAGCAGGGAGCTAACCTGGCACAGCAACCTCTCTTGTGTCCTCTGCTACTCCCTTACCACTGTATTTCAGTAATAGCTGTCCGTTCTTCTCCCCATTCTGTCTCTGGTGAATCCTCTCACCCCCGATACCTCTGATCTATACTCCAGATCTCTACCCAAGTAGATAAATAGTACTAGAACTTAAAAACATTAAAAAAAATTGATAGAAAGGGCTCTCTTTTTAAAAAATATTAATTTATGCAAGCACTGGGTACATTCAGAAGCACGGGAGGGTGAGAGAATTCACCAGAGCCAGAGAGGGGGACAGAACAGGCAGACTGAGGAAGTAGACTGCTGAGGGGAGTGGCAGGCGGCAGGCGAGGTCTGCAGGCCAGGTGGGACCCTCGCTGGCCCTCCAGGGATCGAACCAGCGCTGCAGATGCTGCGGGCAGCTTTGCAGCCCAGCGCTCAACCGCTGCGCCATCGGGGAGGCCCAAATGGCTCTTTCTTGACGTGGAGGAGAGTACATGCCTTTGAAAACACCAACATATGACTGTCGACTGTGCCAATGTAGAAATAAAAAGAAAGGAATGAAGATGTGGGATCCTTGTCTGTAACAAGACTCTTTCTTAAAGTGACTAAAAAATGACCCTGCATTACCTCCAATCAGTAGGTTTTGTAGGAAAACCGTGACATCCACAAAGCTTGAGGTTTCAATAAATACCATCACAAGTTGTACGGAATCATTGTAAGAAAGAAGGTATAGAGGCAGAGTGTTAGGTTAAAAGCTTCTGAATGAAATGGATATCTACATTTAAATGAACATGTTTACCAAATATTTATGAATTGAAGAAAAAAATATGAAATAAGTTTTACTACTTCCTTGTCAACCTGGTTTGGCATTAGAAAATCTGTTAATTCATACAGTGCGGAGAATCCATACAGTGGGGAAAGCCTATCACTGTCAGTGTAGGAAGGCTTTCTTCCACAAGTCAGGCCCCTACAAACATCAGATGGCACACACTGGCGAGCACCCCTGTGAATGTCAAGACAGTGGAAAAAATTTACCCTGTAAGTCATCCCTCACTTACCATCGCAGAATGCGCACTGGAGAGCAATCATGTGAATGACACGGCTGTAGTCAAACTTCCTTCTGGAAATCAGCCCTCACTGTACATCTGAGATGTTGCACTGCAATAAACTCTATGAATGTCCAGAGTATAGGAAAACTTTCTCCTGAAATTGGACCTCACTGACCATCAGAGAATTCTCACAGGGGAGAGACCGCATGAATGCCAAGAGTGTGGGAAATCTATCTCAGAAGTAAGTCCTTAGTGTACATCAGACAATTCACACTTCATAGCTTCTTTGCAGTGTCTAGAGTGCAGGGAATCCTCAATTTAGTCCTCTCTAGGGAACTCAAAGGAGAGCTACATTGTGAATATCCAGAATGTAGTAAAGCTTTTTGCTATAAATTCCATATCTCTGGATAGCAGAGAACTCACAGAGGAGAGAAGCCCTGTGACTGTCAGTGCTGCAGGGTCACTTTCTGCCAGAGGGAGCTCTCACGGCATCGGGGTATTCACACAGGGGAGAAACCTGTGGGGCTAGTGAGCTGGGAATACTTTATAAGGAAGTCAGACTTCAGTGATCCTAGAAATTTTAAGAGCAGTGTAACACTGGTGGAGACTGTTCACATATTTACACAGCATTTTTATGCTGTTGGGCAGACCACGTGCATTTCCCTGCCTCGTTGTCCTATGCTGAACCCAGCCCAGGAGGATGTCAGCACAAACAAGGATCATTATTTCTATTTAAACTGCACCCAAAAAGTTGTGCTTCTTCCCAGCTCTCCTTCCCTGTGCTCTGAGGGGCATCTGTTTCCCAGGTTTGCTAAAGGCACTAAAGGGGGAAGACGGTGACATGATTGAGGAAAGGGATTGATTGGGGGGAAGAGTTTCCCAAACTCTCCTGAGCTCTCTTTGTTGTTTCCTCGAAGAAGAGGTACGTGCTTTGTTGAAACTTGCCTTGTGGTGTTTCTCTTCCTGTCAGTCCATTCTAACCAGTTCGCCTTGTCAGTCTGACTTCCGTGAAAGTTACCAGGCCTTTCCCAGAATTCACACAGGAATGACGGCATTTTGTTTCCTTTTATTCTAAGTCACTCAGTGGAAAAACAGAAATAGTTTCATGTTCCAATGAAAAGAAAAGGCGACAATTACTCTATCCTAATTCCAGAGTATCCTTAAAGAATGCCCCTTAGAGGGGCGTCCCTGGTGGTGCAAGGGGTTAAGACGCAATCTAGGAAGCTATCCACAGCCACTGCAGCACAACTCGATCTCCGGCCAGAGGTGACCCACATGGTGCAGCCCTCTCCTGTCTCCCCACTGCTCCCCTCAGCAGTGTATTTAAGTCCGTCTGCCTGTTCTGCTCCCCACTCTGTCTCTGGTGAATACACACACACACACACACACACACACACACACACCCCGCACCTCTGGCTTGTACCCCAGCTCTTGTATGCATAAATAAATACATCTTTTAAAAAAATGCCCCTTAGAGGTTACTTCATGCCCAGTGGAGCTGCACTGGTCTGCTGTCCCTATTTTTGAAACCTTTGATCACAACAAAGCGCCCCTGGCCTGAGGACCTGACCTGAGGACTCTGAACATACAGAGGAGAGAGGAAAAGTCTGAAGTTTGCCCTGCGGTGGCGATGGGGAGCCATTAGACAGGAACT